GAAGAATATCAGGGTTAATGGCTTCAAACTAGAAGTGGTCCGATCTCTGTTAAATGTTGATTATGGCTACACTTCGAGTCATCATTTTTACTCCATGCGACACGTGTTGGAGGAGATACCTAGACGTCTAAAAGGTATCAACAGGATGAGGAGTGTAGAGTGTTACGCAGCAATGCCCAAAGAGCAAGGATTTGCTGGGGCATCGAAAAAAAACAATAAGGGTCAACACACGTTGCAGTAGGTTCAGGAAATTATTTTGGATTGATTGTTTCGAAAAAAAAACACAAGTCTTGTCGCGTAGAAACGTAATCTCTTGAAGCTGTTGTGCCTTGTTACTAGTTACTTATGATTAATTCTATGATTTATTTTTGTGTTTGTCCTGAAAAAGAAGTCAAAGTTCGGTTTTAGCTGAGACTTTTACAAGGTTTGGAAAATCTTTGCTGGAGTAAACCATATTTGTTCCGGTCATGGACCTTAATCTTTGTAGGAGTCTCAGTGTTTTGTCTATTGAATAAACACAGAAAAATTGTAAAAAGTTGCGATCTCGCAAAAAAGGAGTGGTGACAAAACCTTGACGCGCAAGCGCGCCACTCGGTCCCTTGCGGTTGTAAGGCTTGACGCGCATGCTCGTCAAGGTGTCGTCAATGGGTTAAAGCGCACATTCCATTGTGAGAAAAAAAAGGACGACAACTGAACTAACACCCATAGACATTCTCCCCTTTGTAACGGCGCCCATACTTGAGCTCCAGTTTGAAAACAACGGATTTCTGGGTTTTCGTGTAGGGGAAAACAAATGTTATTCTGCCTATTAGGCTCGTATCACCACGAAGAAGAGGAAACGGAGGTTTGGTGCTTGGCTGCAAATGAACAAACCACAAAAACCAGATAGCTAGGGTACAAATTGCTATGCAAAACTCGACCGTTAGTCCTCAGGGTGTTGGTTAAAGCGCGAGTCTTAAGCTGATGACGAATTGTCTCTATGCTAAAGTAAGTAAAGATGCCAAAACAGCCACAGAGCATCAAATAGTGGCTTCAAGGTGCATGAGCGTCTATTAAGTCAAAAGGAAAGGGCGAATAGCTTCGAAAGAAAGTGATCCAACTTACCCCTCGGTACAGATTTCATGCTCCAGTCGAGATCACGCACGCCTCGTGCAATCGGAGCACAATGCGCAGCTTATAATTGCCATCCTTTGAGACGCTATGACCGCCGAGGGACTTGGGGAATATCGATGTCGAGCCAAGACTGGATGGCTGTTTTTCAAACTCCTCTAATTGCGTGGTCTATGTGTTTCATAGATGAATTCGACCCTTCATTGGTGCCCGCGACCGCATTTCTTCTCCTTTTCTCTTATTCCTAGATAGTTTTATTTACAATTTTCATTGAAATCTCTGCAACTTCTGGTTGGCTTCATTATTCGTTTTTATTTCTTTCTAATTAATAGTCTTATAGGAAGTGATGGTCCCTTTAAATCGCCTTCGAAGGGCCATTTTGTGGCGTCTTTTTTCGGCAACACACTCCGTGATGCTGCCCACTCGACCATGTGCACTCGCGAACCATTTGTCGGGTTCCAGTAACACAGCTTTTATTGATGAATGCAGTGTGTTTGATTTCGTATGGAAAAGTACTTGTTGGCCGTTTTATTTAGAAAACAAATTTGCAACGCCTCAGGCGAATTTCACCTTATAAATGTATCTAATAACGAGCAGATCCTGTGGTTGGTAGTCGGTAGATACAGCATGAGACACCATACCGAGAACATTCAGTTGGAAAGTGGAGTTTCTAACAAATTTTGTAGAATGTTTGTGTATTTCGGTTACACTCCCGTATTCTGAAGTGTAAGGAGGATCGGCCCAGTTCTGTCCTTTGACGGTTCTCGATTGTTTTCCTTCAAAAATCAAGCAGAGTAGTTCAAAAAATGTAAAAATACTTCCTCATTTTCAATACTAGCTGTAAAATAAAGGTACTAGGCGACCCCTCCACTCTAGTATATTGCAATTCTTCAACGCTCTTGTGAAGTATTCTCAGTTTACCATTTATATGTGCTTTTGTTGGAGCACATTCGCAAGGATAACATAAGTTTATGAGACCAAGTTCATCTTGAAGAACTTTTGCAAATCTTTAATTCCTACCATTTTTGACCTATCGAAAGAGAACTCCATTTTCCAGTGTTGCGATGGATTAGAAGTCGTGACAATGGATATAAAGAAGCTGATAGTCATGAAAATGAGAAGCACACTCAACAAGGCGAGCAAACTGGACCATCGTCGAACTCAGAAAACGAGCCAGAAAAACCTAAGGTGGACCCAGCTATGCGTAAGAATTTAAACTTCGCGATAACTGTCCTAAAATTTTTTCACCAGATTTCATGCTTCACATGTTATCCTCCCAATTATACCCGAAAAAGGAAGTAGGAGTTGATGAATCCTGCAAGTTGTTTTACGAGTTCAACTCTCGTTAAAAAGTATGGCACCGAATTTTTTCATGAATTTGGGGAAAATGTTGATTTTGGCCTCAGCTTCGTCCATTTCGTCGAGGTTGAAACCGTCGAGGTTGTTTAACAGTTTTAACTACAATAGTTTTACCTCTGCTCCTTTTCTGGTCTGTACCCTCCCTTTTCATGGATCTGGTACGTTTTTTAATACAATATTACTTTTTATCTGACTTTGACGCCCACCACCTTCCATTAAATTGATCGTTCTTCCTTTGATAGACTCTGCTCGTTTTTTATGACGTTCCATTTTGGCTTCGCTTTGCGTATTTTTTATGTGGATTACGTTCACACCCTGCCTTCCCTCGGCGAAGTTCGGCTCATTTTATGTTTCCAATTAACCTGGATCATCCTTCTCCCATCCTTGGTTGAGCTATCCACTTCAATTTCGTTAAGGCGTCATATAAGGTGATCAGACAGATAAGGTAGTCATTTCTCAGACGCTTGATGGTGCGATCGTAACATTCTGGTGGCAGACTCACTGCTACATATGGTACGCTTCACGTGTCTGGGCTTATCCTTCCCTCTCAAATTTCATATTCGCCTGCATTTGGCCCGAGAACGTTACAATTCTTGGAGTTAAAGGACTGGGATGGAAACCCAGCCACAATGACTTTGATCACTCTTGATTGATGGGTACGAATTAATATCCGATTTGTGGTGTGTGCGCTTATATTCATAGATTATCATTCTTTAAGTCCCAGGGTAAAGTGGGAGCTAATATTTTACGAGAATGTTGGCCTCCGGTCGCTTTTAACGGATTTGTCTGCTCTTGGCAGAGAGCGAAATACGGGTAATTGGCCCGCTAAACAATTGGTTATAGACGCACCACTGATTTTCATTGTACTAAACATCTCCGTAGAATTTGGGCTCTAATGAAAAGTTTCTAGACAATAAGCTATTCAATATGATTGACGTCTAGTATTTGAAAACAGCAGATAACTGTCGGAAGTGATGCCTGGAATTTAGATCAAAACTGTGACTGGGACATCTTTTGTAATAGCGCATCAAGGTTGTTTCCCATTAGGTCAATAGAGGAAGCAATCTTACATGGTTCTGGTTCTTGCTTAGGATGTGAGAGTTGGCGACGAAAGCTTGTGGACGACCTAACCTTCTTATTAGCTTAGCCTTGGCCAACCAACCGAAAAGCTTGAATTGGAAGTTTTTCTTTTCATTAGCTCTTTAAACAGGTGTAACACACAATTGTGATTAGTGGACCTAGCTATTCCAATTCTTTAAAACGGCCAGAAGAAAGGAACATACGATAATCCGCAAGTAAACAAGGTTATGTTGAAGTCATCTTCACCGTAACAACTTGAGATACTGGGCTTTTATGCTAGAAATCTGGGAGTAAACGAAATGCGTTCATTGTTTAAAGTTCCCATAAAATGTGGTAATGGAGTGAAATAGACCTTACTGACATCTGCTTGAGCGAATCGATGATAAGCTATTGAGCGCCTATAAGTACTGATGTCAAATCTAGGCCATAGAACATTCCAAAAATTATCAGATCGTGGAGTAATAGCAGTTCCAAATATTGATTTACGAAAAAAGAAATGGAACTGTTTACGGTTTCTTGTTATAGTGGTAGTTCTGTCATTGCGCAGAACGTTATTCTGGTACTTCATAATGTTTGACAGTTTTTTTTCACTTATGCAAAGCTGAGAAGATGACAAATTATCAATCATGGAAAGGGATTCATCAACTTTTATTTCCTTGTCTCTAATATTTTACACCTTGTGTTCTCTGATCCGATCTATTTTTTCATCTTTATTCGCTTATATTGACACATAGAATTATTCTGAAAGAGTTAGAATGATGAAATTTCAATCTAGTCAAAGTTTTGTGACTCCCGCATACTCGAACTTTTCCCTTCGCTTTGCTCATGTTAAATTTTAGTGCGGAAGCTACGAATCTATGTGCTAGTATGTGGCGGGTTGTCGTTTGTTTTGTCCTACATTGCTCTTTCACGGATGGCTAGTGGTCAAGCAGAAAAAGAAGGAATTCAAGCTGAATACCTATCAAGGTCAGTGAGTTTTTTTTCATGCACTTCCTATTTCAGTTAAGTATGACTTAAGAACCTGAGATGGTCTTGAGTAGGGTTAGATCAGTTTATTTGACATTTTCATTTCTCTTCATGATTTGATTGTTTAGGCAATGACCTGTTTTAGGCAAGGTATAGACATGGGCTCCTTCATTGCAAAATATTTGAGAGCTGGAGAGGTGAGAGAAAAGTACTGGTATTCCTTCATTTTTTGAAATTACCATTGAATAGAAGGGGAAAGCGCTCATTAGCGTTTTTAGGTGAGACGCATAATATTTTGCCCTGATCACTCTCGAGCTGTGGCGTTCTTGCATAATGGGGCTATTATTGATGGCAAAAAGGTAACCCTTATTACTGCTATTGCCTTTATTTTCGTCATGTTCACTTGGTTTTGTTTTGCTAATGTACTTGTATTCGAGATATGTCTAATTCAGCCAAACATCTTTCTTGATTATGGATTTTTTTTCTTAGGTTCAAGAACCGATTGTGGTGGTGGCTTATCCGCACAGTGCCCAACAATTCTGGGCGGATGTGCGAAAAGAAGAAGAAGATATGGGAATATCAGTATCGGATGGTGTACCACTGGATATGTACACTGGAATGACCCTACTCAGGTTATTTTTTTTTTCAACAAACAATGTCACTGAAGGAGATCAAAGACATGAACGTAGAGTCAAGTTATGAATTTTTTTCCTAATATAAGCTATGTATATGTGATGCTTATAACTCTATAGCATTATTCTGAAAAAAACTGGTGCACCCATCAGTCGTGGTTTTGCTTGAAATTCAAGGTTATAACGATTTCCTCAATTCATTTGTGTAAACACAATATACATGAATCTAGGCAATTAAATATTCTGGATTATAGGATGGTCGAACTTACTGTTGGTGTGCTAATAATTGCCTGGTTGTTAACGCAGTACGGTCGTCTCATTCGACAGAGGATACTAGCTAACAAGCTGAAAAAGGGCGGGGGCGGATCAATGTAATCCCGCACAAAAGCTTGTGGATGTTGACAACAATTTTAGCTTGTTTGTATATCGTTGCGGCCATTATTCGGTACGTTTTGTGAGATCTTTCTTCGAAGGCACCCATCGTATTTAGTGAATGCTTAAGCTTTGAGAAAGTCGGGGTTTCATGTACCCCAACATCAGCTGCTGAGAAAAAAAAAATAACACAAAAGCTACGAAATCGTAAATTGAAACCTGCCCTGCCTTTACCCTTGGATTAATATGGACGTTCACACAAACAACTCCTGCGAACATTTCTGTTCATATTCTAAGACACAACTAGCACAGTTAAAGAGTGAAGGCTGATGCTGGCGGTGATGAGTAGTACGCCAATAGTGATGAAGTAAAGAATAGCGACAATAAACCTCGAGATTTTACTCATTGTCAGAGCCTTTCATCCTCTGTATTGAGCGGATTGCGCAAAGAGTGATCAAGGTAATCTAACGTCGACATCATCTTCCATCTATCGCTCCCCAAATAGGGCTTTGGCGCGCCATTAGGGGACGACTCCAGACTTCGCGCCGACTGACGTGCGAAAGGACGACATCGACAGTGGTCAATATCCTCCGATAACTAGCGCCACGATTGAACGCCTGCTTAGCGCTCCAACATACCAGTTCTGTTTCGCTCTTTTTCGTGCTGGCTCGACTTCGGCCATCTTGCCAAGGTGAAGATCTAACTCAAGTATTCTTCAGCTTTTCTCCACCCAGTCGTTTTATTGAGATGGAAATCAGACAAAAATTGTCGCAGGCTTCTATATTTTTATAACTACGGCAGTATTGAATGCTTTTGATGTTTCCGTCAGTGCCTATGAAGTCCTCCATAAAAGAACTTTATAGGATAGAAAGGAACAAGGAAGCAGTTACCAGGGGAAATCAAGAAAAGAATTAGTAAAAGTAACAACTACTAGTTGATTTACCAAAAATGCGAAGCATTTTGGTCGAAGCAGAACAGGCTCTCCCGAGATCCTAAAAAGGTGATGCCCAGTATGGGTCGTATGACCACTCGGTTCGATGCTGTTGATCGACGCCAGTCGCCTTTCAGTTCTTGCACATCAGCCAAAGGAAAGTATGAAAGGGGTCTGTGGGTGTTTTATTATGTTCACGACTGTTGATACCCGAGAGTATCACGTCTGAGCTACAATTTTGGGCGGCATGAAACGCCGATGTATCATAAACATCAATTATCGTTACAAAGTATAGTTGCATAATAGCTAAGCTTATGTACCTAAAAGAAAGCAGTCAAGCGAGATACTTCCACCTTGTGCGGACAATTCATGATCCACTTCGTATACTTGACATCGCTCTGTATCATGAATTGACCGCATAGGGCGGTTTTTCTGAATTTCTAATCACTAGCTTCCTCCAAAGCAACCGCTCAACAACCGTAGAAAAAAGCAATACAGATTTTTGGTAATCCATTCTATGTAATCGTTGAATAATTGGCAGAACTTAACTCTTATGTAAGAGCCTTGTGCATTACATGGTGAAGAGTGTCTTCGAAGGGATTTTTTCGCTATCTAGGTGAACTTCTTTTCTTCTTGTACCGTAATGCGGTGCAGGTAATGCAGGACTTCAGTATAGTGGTGCAGTTGATCATATAGTAGGTTATAGATTTTAGTGATCAGATTGTATGATTATTGATTCTAGTGATTAGGATTCGATCGCGTCATATTGATTATATAGAAGGAATGTGTGAATGAGTTTAATGGAAATAGTCGAGTCAAGTGAGTCGGTGCCTATAACGTTTCTATTTTTGTTGTGTGATTATTTGAGCAGCCATGTGGAGAACAACGAGTAGTTTCATTGAGACTTCTTCTCTGCCATATATAGGAATTCATTTTCGAACTGAGAAATTTATTCGTCCTGCAGAAATATTATGCTACACTCTCTTGATATTGCACACCTTTGAATATTGTTTGCTATAAAGTATTGTATTTCACGTGTTCATCTTTGCTTTTTCTATGGTAACCTGTCCATATCGTTATCGAGCTTGGTATTTCGGAGCTTATCATTCATGTCTACTCAACCTAATTCAATCCTATTCATGGTGAACTTTAGTTTGCGTCGTGCAGTGTTCTAAGCTGTTAGGTCTTCCTAGCCTCTGCAAAAATGACGGACGTTATGCGAGATATGATTGCCCAGCTAATGGGCAGACAGAAGGAAGATGAAGAGGGTGAGTTCGGCTTTTTTGTGATAAAATTTCAGGGAAACATCGCTGTCAGAAGATTTGTATGGCATTTATACCGTATTTGTTTCAGGAAGAGAACTTGTTCCTTACAACCATCCCTCAGTTTGCCGTGCGTTTCTCATTGGATGCTGTCCCTATGAGTTAGTACCTGATAGCAGGTTACAAGGAATTATTTCATGTCGGAAAACTCACGAACCAGCTCACAAGGCTGATTACCTGAAAGCGCAAAGCGAGAGGGATCATTACTATGATGTTGATGTGAGATTTTCGAAGAAGTTTTTACCTGATAATAGCTAATCTTTTCAAATTCATAGGCTTTCGATATATTGGAGAACGCTATACGAGTAGTGGATAATGAAATTTCTCGCATCAAAGAGAAGCTTGATCGTGAAGCGAAGGAACAAACAGACTCCGCAGAAGCGGTCAAGGTTTGTCACTATCTACAAAATCTTAGGCAAGATGTCATCCTATCGAACAATTTTCAGACACAGCGTATTGGCGAATTGAGTGAACAAATCGGTAGAGCTGTTGCAGAAATGGAAGAATTGGGGAACATGGGGAAAGTGGAAGAATCTATGAAGTTGTCAAAGACAGTTGAAGATCTTCGGGCCCGCAAAGCGGAACTAGAGGTGCCTTTACAATATGTGAAGTAATATTTGGCTGTTTTCAAAATCTTCCCACCTACTCAATAGCACCTTCATTCTTTATGCAGAATTTCGCATTAACCAATGTGCGATACCTGTCAATTATACCTATTATCTACCTCTTGTTTTTGCTTCCCCTTCAAAGATTTATTCGATTAGTCTCTCGAGGGCATAGCTGTTTTTCGTTTTGAAAACTGCTCTAACTGCTACCACTGTATCATAACACGTTACGCTTCTAGACCTTAGCTAACAAAATGGCGCCCAGAAAACATCTCAACGCAATGGCGGGCTGCCTCGGAAATACTTGCTATTACCTGAAATTAAGTGTATTGAGTACTGATCTCCTCAGAAAGCGTTGTCCATCACTGAAACGTCTGCTAAACAGTATGATGTAGTTTAAGAAGTTTTTTTTTTCAACAAAAAATCTAACTATTATCCCTGAGAGACCGCTTCAATATGGGATACAGCTTTCGTTTTCGAACTCTGGATTTTGTATGGCTACGCGCGATCCTTAATTTCATAGGCAGGCAGCCTACCGTTTTCTTATAAGGACTTGATTTGAATGAGGTGTGGTTGCGTTCCGACGCATGTTGAATGACCATTATTTGTAACAGTCGCTTTTGATTTTTTCCTACCACTGCTTTATGACGAATAAGGAGTGGGTAATCTTCAAAACACGGTAGAGGTTGGGGTTGAATATAATGTGGCAATATCGTACAGAACTGCCAATGAGGTCTTTAGATTAGGCTTTTGATCATCGCTTTTTTGAACCTAACTCTATTTGTCCAGAGAACCCTTTCCATTCTACTTTTCTTGACCAGACAGATGCCCGTGACCGACTTTGATATTTCTAGTCTAATATCTAGTTCTCCACATTGAGCCCGATTTATTGATAGCATTTAATTTTTGTCAAAGCGTAATTGATCGGTCAATTATAACTGGCC